GAATTCTCCAGGGCTTTTATAACAATATTCGAATCTACTTGGGACAATTAGAACGTATAATTACTGTCCATACTTAACAAAAGAATCGTGATTAAATCGATCATAAACGAAAATGGCACGTTCATCATTAAACATAGCTAAGGATCGGAAGCTCATGAACGATTGAAATAAAGTTCAAATATATATATATATATATATATATATATATATATATATATATATATATATATATAAAATATACGGAAAAAAAACGGAAAAAAAAAAAATCCTAATATGAAATTATGCTCTTTTAATGTTAATATAATGTCAACGTCGAACGTTTCGGTCTAGTAGACCATCTTCAGGACATATTCATAAAACATAATTAACATTAGACTATATTTAATTCAACATGAAAAGACGATGGACATAAGAGTAAGACTAATCAAAACAGACAACTGAAACTTTTCAAAATCAGCATTCCGTTTCAATATGATCACGTCAGCGTCAAGTGGGCGATATTGTGAAAACGTATTCCTAAAATATAGTATTTTCAATGAAAAATAAAAAGAATTTTATTTTAATCTAAAAATTATATGTACGTTTGTCGAGCATTAATCTTGCTAGAAAAGGGGAAAATATTAAAGAAGCCAGGTCTAGTATTCACCGTGCGTGAGATAGATATTATGCCTGCCTCATAAATTAACATTAAACATTAAAACATTTAAACAGCATAATTGCATATTAGGATTTTTGTTTGTTTTTTCCGTATATTTTTCTTCATACTGTCGGATCTATATCCATATATTTGTTTACATATATATATATATATATATATATATATATATATATATATATATATATATATATATAGGGACATTTTCCAAATTATTCAAGATGATCATCGCCCTCTCTACCTTTCTAATTTTCTGTCCTGGAGTAAAAGCTCCCACACATGTTTCATGTACGATTTCATTTTCATGACTTTTTTTTTCACTGCTCATAGCTGAAGCTCCCCTCCCACCTACCAAAAGACTTATGAATAAAGTTATATTTTTTCTAATTGATCTCTTTAGTTCTAAGTTGAATGATGATCCCGCTTCTTGTTGTGATCTCCTGATCCAGTTTTTATTTCTACTGTTCCCCCTTTTTTTTTAACTTATTCACCGTTCTATTCATAGTCAGAGTATGAATGTTGGTGCCGTTACTGAAAGCCTCAATGATCTTTTACTTCTCACCATTGCTCAGTTAGGAAGACATAGTGGGACTGACACAAAATGATTTTAACTTTATCTCTCTCTAGCTGAATAACTCAAAGGTGATTCTTACGACAAATGGTGTCAGAGATGGTTAAACCAGGAAAAATAAACTCAATTAGTTTAATGTTATTTTAGATATTAAACATTTTAGGGAATTGACAAATAATCCATGCTGTAAAACGATTTGGGCAATTTTCCTGTTACATAAGGTGTATACATATAGATATATATATACATACGAAGGATACTAAAAATTTTTAGCACATTTTGCTGGATAGAATGATTGATCGTGACAAGCAGGCAAAAATAATTCTTCAGAAACAGCATCTAAAAAAGATATACAGTACATCTTTGTTGGTAAAAGCTTAACAACATTTGTAATATTAGATCCAATTATACAAGAAATGTAAATATTATTACGGCATGGTCAGTTCCTATGTATCGCTCCAGAAAATATTTATCTCTTGCTGTCATTCTCTATCTTTACAAGTGTCAGATCAGACCAAGTAGAGAGTATTGGTGCTATATCCGGGCTCCCCACTCTTCTGCACACGGTAGATTTCAAAATCTCTTACACGGTTTTTTAAGTTATGATTTATTCTGCATTCTGCTACTGTTATCCTCCAGACAAAAAGTTTCTAGCCTCTTACTAATCTATCGCTATTACTGTAAAAGTTGTTGTGTGCCATAAGTTACAACTTTTGTTCACCTTTGGGGCTTGTGTTTGTGACGTCTCGAAAATTCTATCAGTAACGAGTTTGGGCGCTAGATCCAAATAATGGCTCAAAACACAGGCGAAATAATATTGATAAGGATACATACGATTTTCTCAATGTAACATCCCTCCAATTCTTACGCAATCACTGCTCTCCTCAGCTTCCATATATTAAATATGCATGAATTCACATAGCATTTTTAAAAGACAGTGGAGATGTATCAAAACCAGATTATTACCTCTTTTAAATTGGCTGCTACCAAGGCTCTAATTTTCAGTCTGCTGTACTATTTAATCCATATATAGTGGAGGCTAGAAGATGGAACCATGCCTTTTTCAATGGCATTAATGCGAAATTAAACGCAGTAGATTAAGTTGGATTTTCTACTCAACTCGCTGAGTACTCCTACACCGATAACCTTTGCTCTACAGTCCCACTCTCGATATATATATATATATATATATATATATATATATATATATATATATATATATATATATATATATATATATATATCGACTGGACAACACGTGCTTGTCTATATAAGATAGACTGAACCTACTAACAATAATCCCCTTGACTTATCCCTATTTTAATTCCCCATCCCGCCCATCCTTTGTTGGATAGTGATGTCAAATCTCTGGTGGGTGCGGGTCGACTTTCGTTTCGGGTGGGATTTTCGTAACTGTTTTTGTGTGTGAATGAGTGTGTGTTTGAGTGAGTGCTTGGGATGTATCGATGTTTTATATATTTTTTAAAGTCCCGCATTGATTTCGTCCAGTTAACTGATGTTACTGCCACAGTTAGAGCTGGCGGGCGGAGTTATTACGAATAAAATTTTGTTTAACTTCTTGTATATAGTTTTGTACACATTTGTAAATACTCGTTTAGATTTTTAAACTGTTATTCTTATTCCCCGCCCCCACCACAGACAATGAATTGTATAAATGGGAACTAGTTAGGATTTCATAGAGTTTCTGAGGCATTATGGTGGATGAGGTAAGAAAGGTATGTAAGAATGAGTTGTTTGGGTGAAAAGAATATTGTTTGTATGTTTGAGTCAATGTTTGTGGTTATCTAAGTTTAATGTTAAGACAGAAGATGAGCATCCTTTCCCCCCTCCATCTCCCCTTTTGGCCTTGTGCCATATTTGTACATTCGTACAATAATGATTATTGCTTGACTTAGTTAGATTTTCAATCAACGGCAAACATATTGACGAGGTGTTTAAGGTGCTGCACAGGACTCGGTCAGTTAAGCATTTACTATTTTTACAAGCTGTTTACATCAAGATTCATCGACCGACATTGTGCAGGCAGGAGAACTTTCTTCGTTCTCTGTGTTCCACGGGTGGCTCGTAAGTAATTTTTTAATTTATGTTTTATGTTTACTAGCAGTTTATTTACACCGATTTGTTTGGTTTTAGTAATAAATATATTTCAGACATGTCTCCTTGTTTAGTCTCTACATTTTTTTTCAATTTTGCCGTTTTGATTATTGTCGTTCCAACGAATCTTTCTGAAGAAGTGTTGCAGGTAAAAGGGCGCCTTGAAATGAATGCGTTTCTTCATTTTCAAAACCATATTTAAATACCGTGGTACATTTGTGTCTGTATATATATATATATATATATATATAATTTATTTGCGAAAAAGCCTAATGCCTACGAGGGATTATTGTAACTTCTCTCTTATTTTATGATTTACCGAGAGCTAGCAATAATATATAGGGAAACAGTTATCACACTAATGCCCTCGGAAAAGGCACGAATTCATTTCTTCTCAGAACTATTGTTTATACAGCAAAGTAGATTGTGCTTTCTAGTCATAGTTGGCAGCTAGTCTGGAAGAAGAAATACCCTGAATTCAAAACTCTGAACTAAAACACACCTATATTTTCCCAAGAAGTCATGGGAATTCGCAGATAATCATGAAAATGTTTCTATAGAGCTCCGTTATCACCAAGATCCTAAAGAAACGTGATATTTAAAATGTATTTAAAAATATCTCATCATTTTTTGGTTTATTGCGATAATTCAACACACAATTTGTAATAGAATAAAACTTTGCGAATCCAATTAATCTATCTGTCATCCTGGGTACGACGATAAACTACATTCTGCAGCAAGGCCTGTGATCAGGAGTTTTTGAAGAGCGTGGAACCACTTCTTAATTGCTGTCGTCTCAGGTCCGCCATGAACCGAGATGATACCACCTGTTAGGGTCCCGGCTAATAGTGAACACCCAAACTGGGTTCAAAGCACTATGAAAGTGTAGAAATATATTTTTATAATGAAGGTGCCAGCAATACATTTTCATAGTAAAATAAATAAATGACCAACAGTACATTTTTGTACAAAAAATATAAATAAAAATATTTTACAAGCAATACAGTTTTGTAAGGAAAAATATTAGTAGCATCACATTTTTATAAAGAAAAGTTGTCAGCAATACATATTTGAAAAAGAAAAGTTGCCACCAATACATTTCTGTAAGAGAAAAATGCTAAGAATGCATTTTTGTAAAAAAAAAAAAAAAAGTTGCCAGCAAAAACATTTTTGTAAAAGAAAAGTTGCCAGCAATACTTTTTTAAAAATTAACTTACTAGGAATATATTTTTGTAAAAGAAATTAGTAATACTCCCAAGGAAATTAAATTTCGGGATTAAGTGACCCATAAGGATGTTGATATGCTGCTAAACAAACGAAACTGAAACTGCAACTTTGCCACCAGGACCGGCAATAGGGTTGTTTATATTCTAGTATATCAATGTCTTCATATTGATTGACTGGTTAGTTTTTTGAAGGCTTATCAATCCTTTGCTGTTTATTAAAAGCAGAAAATATTTTAAGATTTTTACCATTTGGGTGGGGGGGAGATAATAATGATTTCTTGATTCAAGTTTTACTAATTAACCTATAATTCTGAGAACAGGTGGGTTTATACCTTTCCCAGGTGTACTTGATCATAAGTGAATGTAACAAACCCAACTGGAATTGGATCTCGGCTTTCGAGCCATTATCCATTATATTACCCTCCCATCCAAGCTTACACCACCTGGTATTCCCAAGCAGTCGATTATCTAGGTACTAACCAGGCTCGACACACTTTAACTTCGGCGATCGTACGGGAACCGGTTTTTCAACGTGATTTGGCCCTAAGCCCACCTCTTCACAACGAAACAATAGATAACGCTAGAATCTCCTTTAAATTCTTATTCAATAATATATGAGGTGAAGCTACTGTTTTATACTTTGACAAAAATACAGGGAGATAGTCCTTTTTTCTTTTTCTTTTTTTCAAAGTAATATAACTTTTCTTTTAGCTTTTCTTTGTTTTGCATTCAATCTTCAAAATATCTGGATCGATTTACGTTACACAAGAAATTGGAAGATAAATGACATTGCCCTGCTCAGTGTTTTTAAAATTCATAATGTATATTTCCTACGGCGCTGAGCATTATTCAGTATCTAAATAAGTCGGGCGGCAAAGCCATATGACGGCGTCTTTAACCTGGGATTTTCTCGTATCTGACAGCGTCGTATTGCTGACGTTGATGTTAAAAAGACCTGACGCTGTCTTATCTTATCTCCGAAAGGCATTTGATGGCCGCTACAGCCTGTTTTACATCGTCGACTATCGAGTATCTTCACTCGAACATGTTATGCAGATTTCAGTCCCGCTGTGTAAGTAGCAGTGACAAATCGTAGCTCGTCCAGTAAATACAGAAGGACGCCACCTGTAACACATTCTGTAACTTAACTTTTCATTGCTTCCGAACACCATACAAGAGAAGGAAACATCTCGCTCGCTAAGCAGCGCTAAGAAAAATTGGAAGCAACTGGTTAAAAAAAAACAAAAAAAACGATTCGACTTGGGGCAATGGTTAATTCTCGAAAAACTATTACGACGTTCCCAGAGCAAAACAGTATTTTCTCTTTTCTAATGTTCACCTAACACAAGCCACAAGAGTCACCCAACGTACACGCTTGATGAATGAGATGAGTTGTATGGTCATTAGAAGTAGAAAATGAAGATTATGAGTTAATAGAGATGCCTGTGCCACCTGTGAAATAGTTTAAGTTAATAGTTAAGTTTTAATAGTTTAATATCTAAGAGAAACACTGTAGAAAATTATTATAAACTATTATTAACATCAAACAGCAACAGTGGTAGCACCATCGTTTCGCTCTCGGAGGTCGAAATACAAACCTTGGGCGTCTCGAAGCCAGTCTGTGCCGCCGCCGCCGTATTCTGCCGTCACTGTGCGTGGTCGCGTTTTGCTGTCTTACCTCAAACACCGCCGCCCTCGGCTCGGACGAGACGAAATTGACGTCCTGAATTCAAGGAAAATGCCGATACGTTTTGTCGAAAATCCAAAACGGAATTTACGTTTAACTGAAAAACGTAAATATTGCTTAAAAATAATATAACAATTTAATATAATTTGCAGTTATTATTTATTTTATTCCATTTATTCCATACATTATGATTTATATTTATTTAAAGGTATATATGTATTTTTTTTTTTACTATTTCTATCAACATTTTCGACAGGTAACAGGTTTTTCTGTATTTGTATTTATTTGTTTTTGTACAACTAAACTGAACATCGTTTGTCTTATTTTTATTTGCTTACTTTGCTTACCTGATCTTATACTTACCAACTTGCATTTTCTACTCACTTTACTGCTTTATCAATTGGTACTTTAGGTGTTACTATTGTCAAAATGCTAGATTTTATTGCATATTAAATGATAAACAGTGATCAGAGTATTAAATGATAAACAGTGATCAGAGTATTTTACGCCCCAATCCCGATTTATATTTTCAATGTTTTTCTGCTATTTTTTTCCAAAATTAACAAACATAACGATTTTTGTGTTTGTTTAATTCTCTACGACGAATTCCTAACATGTCTTGCTTTCTATGTCTTTATTTACCTAATATTTGCCTATATTTCTGAGATGAGGTATTATGTACAATATTTACGTTATTCGGACTATTGTCCTCATCTTTGTCGCCATATTTATAACAACGTTTCGGCCGTAGTACGCTCCGGCCTTCTTCAGGCGGTTGAAATCTCGAACTGAACCCTTTAATTCGCTCACTGCGATAGACTGATAACTGACATCCATTAGAGATGGCACGTGGAACTAGAACAGTCTACGCCAGCAAACGAAATAAGGGGTTCAGTTCGACATTCCATCACCTGAAGAAGGCCGGAGCGTACAACGGACGAAAATGTTACATATGGCAACAAAGATGAGGACAATTGTTCAAAAATGTAAATAGTGAACATTTTATATATTTAAAAACCGTTATTGGGGGGGGATTCTAAGACACGCAATGTATATAATGTGTATATACTTACAATATATATCTTCCAAATATTTTCATAGCCAAGGGTGATAGTGGGGATAGGCTCCGACGGTTTCTAAAATGCTTCTGTGGCATGTGACTCAAATAGCCTCTGACGACTGAGTCTAGCTCCAAGCAGGACAATGTGCGAAGCCGGACAACTGGCTCCTTATACAGCTGGGTCGGGTAGATGTAGCCTGACAGCCCACGAAGGCAATCCATCCCAGGGAAGATTAAAAAAGCGATGCTGGCCTTCAGAATCGTTTACTGGCCCATAGCAGAGAATTAAATTGTGTATAAATGATGGAATTAACAAAATTCTATATGAAAAACACACACAATAAAACTACAGTGGATAGAAAAAGTATTTAACACATTGGTTGTTCTTACATATCTCAGAAAATAACAGATCAATTTCAACGAAACTTATAGAAAATATATAACCGAACATTGTCGATCAAAACATAGAAAGAAAATTTAAAACCACTGTTTTGAGAAACATTTATTAACAATAAATAAAATAACCCATATGCAAAAGTATTTAACACACTTTACTAATATTTAGTACAGTAGCCTCGAGTCGTTTCCCGTAGTCTTCAACTAGTTTCTTGCAGGTACTTGTTGGTATTTTGACCTATTCTTCTTCACAAATTTTCTTCAATTTGTTTAAATTCGAAGGATTTCTTTTATGAACTCGTAACTTCAATAGTTTCCACAAATTTTCGATTGCATTTAAATCCGGTGACTGGCTTTCCAGGACATTAATGTCATTATTATTAAACTAATTCTTAGTTGTTTTAGCAGTATGCTTCGGGTCATTGTCTGAAATACAAAATCACGACCATGTCCCAAAGATGTGGCACTGTTCAAGAGTTGAGTTGACAAAATTTGAGTGTATTTTGCAGCATTCATTGTTCCTTCGATGATTTTCATTTTTCCTACTCCATTGGAGGAAAAACAACCCCACATCATAATATTTCCACCCCCATGTTTAACGGTAGGGATGGTATTTGCTGGTTCGTATTCCGCTCCTTTTTTCCTCCATACATGAGTGCGCATGTTTCGTCCGTAAAGCTCAATTTTTTTTCGTCTGACCAAATTACTTTCTCCCAGAAATCATTAGATTCAATTTCAAACGGGCTTGTACATCTCGGCGTATCAGTAATGGTGTCTTTCTCGGTGATCTTGAAGTAAGACCTGCACGATTCAGTGATCATTTAATTGTATCTTTACTAACTTCAATTCCGGCATTTTTCAAATCATTCTGAATTTCTCGACGAGAATGGATTTTTCTTCACAGTACGGGAAATGTATCGCTCATTAGCCTCATTTAAGTTACGAGGACAACCACTCCTTTGAATGTCTTCAATAGTATCGAATTTTATCCATTTTCGAACAGCACCAACTGTACTCACAAGCAAATTCAAATCTTAGCAATTTTTCTATATCCCTTACCATCTTTGTGATTCTTTATGATCTTCTTGCGCATGTCGTTCGACAATTCTTTTGTTTTCACCATTTTCTTGCAGTAGTGGCAACAGAATAGCTGCAGTGTCTCAGAGCTGTTATCTAATAGCCAGTTGAGTGTCGTGCAGTGCAGTCATTGGTCGACATATCACATCATATCAATATGGGTAGGAATCATGACGACACGTCTCTTGTAGCATAATATTTGCATTGGTGTTAAATACTTGTTGGTCAAGTCCTTGAACTCACATAACAGGTAGTAACAGTGACCTCCAGGACTTGACCAACACACTTTTAGAAAAAGCAGGGGATTTTACAATGGAGGTTAGCTCCGAGAAATCCAAAGTAAAAGATGAATAGCACAAACGGTAACATCTGTGTCAATATTACCATGGATGGGAATTCACTGGAGGAATTTAAAGACATAGGAGCAATGTTGTCTAAAGATGGTACCTGCAAATCGGAAATCCACATAGGGATTGCCACAGCGATGGCACCGATGGCCAAAATCACAAGAATATGGAGGAGTAAAATCAGCTTTCAAACAAAGTACAGACAGCACAAATCGCTGGTAGACCCCATTCTGCTATATGGATGTGAAATGTGGACACTGTTGCCAGAAACAGAGAGAAGGATCCAAGCGTTTGAGAATAAATGAATGAGAAAATTCCTTGGTATTTTCTATTGTGAACAAAAAACAATTAGTTTGTGCGAAAAAGGGTTGGAACTTTTTGGGGACAACAGAAACCTCTTCTCGACACTGTCAAACGGAGAAAAATGTTGTGGCTTAGACAAGACCATCATGCAAGGTACAGCTGAAGGTGGATGTAGGAGAGGGCGGCAACGCAAAAAATGGTTAGACACTGTCAAACAAAGGACAGGTATGACCGTATCAGAATTCCTGATGGCTGCCATTAATAGACCATTGTGGAAAAGAGTTAGTGTAGCTTCTGCATTCGGATCCACTCTATGATTACAAAAGTTAAGGGGATGATGATGATGATGACGATGGCTGTCAAAAAAGGCAGAATAAATAATTTTATTGTTGAATAATTACTTCATAATCTCCATGTATTTTAGGTTTAAATCCTGATTTATATTGTCCTTTACTGTTTATACTATCTTTTTCTAAACTGAACAAACTTTTCGATATTTCTGATTTTCTTGATTTGTTTTGCTTTCTCGTGCGTTTGTTTACCCAAAGTTTTGTGTATTAAAAAAAAATTCATTTCTGATGCTTTCAAAACACTTAATATATAAAATGTTTATATACGTACATTATATATGTCTTATAGGTTGCCATAGCCGCAGTTCCAAGCCGGAGAATCGGC